GAGATGGGGTTTCACCATGTTGGCCAGGTGGGTCTTGAACTCCTGACCTCAGGTGATCCACCTGCCTCGGCCTCCCAAAGTGCTGGGATTACAGGTGTGAGCCACCGCGCCCGGCCCAGGAGGGGAGGGAAGGGAAGAAAAATAACTAAGAGAGGCCAGTGGGAGGGTGGCTTAAGAATGGTGTGTGCCCACAGACGTGTGAGGGTAAAAATTGAGCTTCTTCCTGGGCACTGCTCCCCATCTTCCCTCTCCTGTTGGAGCACGGGCTCCCCAGGGAAAGTCTTAAGGAGGTCCTTCCATGCATAAAGCACACACCCCATGTGCTTCGTGTTGGAGGTCACAGATTTGACTTCTCATCAATTTATCAATAGGCAATTTGCTGAAAGCAAAGTTACTGAATGTCCAAGTTACCAATTTTCTTTCCTTTCCTTTTTTTTTTTTTTTTTTTTTTTTTTGAGACAGAGTCTCGCTCTGTCGCCCAGGCTGGAGTGCAGTGGCGCGATCTCAGCTTACTGCAAGCTCCACCTCCTGGGTTCATGCCATTCTGCTGCCTCAGCCTCCCGAGTAGCAGGGACTACAGGCATGCACCACCATGCCCGGCTAATTTTTGTATTTTTAGTAGAGATGGGGTTTTGCCATGTTGGCCAGGCTGGTTTCAAACTCCTGACCTCAGGTAATCCTCCCACATTGGCCTCCCAAAGTGCTGGGATTACAGGTGTGAGCCACCGCGCCCGGCCCCAAATGGACAATTTTCTTTCCTTCTTTCTTTCTTTTTCTTTCTTTCTTGAGGTGGAGTCTCGTTCTGTTGCCCAGGCTGGAGTGCAGTGGCGAGATCTTGGCTCACAGCAAACTCTGCCTCCCGGGTTCAATGCGCATTCCTTTCCTTGGCCGTCAGGCCGTCGCCGGCCAGCAGGTCAGGCTGGGGTACTACAGGTCTCACCTACTCCTGCGACGCTCCACCCTTAGTTTTTTTTGGTTATTTTTAGTAGAGACGGAGCTTCTCCACGTTGATCAGGCTGGTCTTGAACTCCCGACCTCAGGTCATCCACCCGCCTTGGCCTCCCAAAGTGCTGGGATTACAGGTGTGAGCCACTGCAGCCGGCGCAAATGGACAATTTTCTAAAGGATCAAGTTAATATATGGCTACCTTACCAAAGTCTACTGAAATTACCAATTTACCCAAAAACCTTTGTGCAGTTGTCTTTACAGAGTTTATAGCAGGTTGCTCTGGCCAAATTGGCATGGCCTAAGTAAGGGCTAGGGAGAGTCAGTTCTCTAGTGTTAAGGGTCTTTAGGCTCCTCACTGCCCACCCTTTAGCCTCTGGCTGCTCTGGAGTGGGCAGCCTGGAAATGCTCTGTGTCCTCCAGCAGATGATCCTGTCTACCTCCAGCTGCAGCAACAGGGAACTGGGGCAGAGGCAAACTGAGCTTAAAAATGCTAATATCAATCTGGGCAACATACTGAGAACTATAAAATAAATAGCCTGGTGTAGGCAGGACACGGTGGGAGGCTGAGGTGGGCAGATCACCCAAGGTCAGGGGTTCAAGACCAGCCTGGCCAATATGGTGAAACCCCATCTCTACTAAAAATACAGAAATTAGCTGGGCATATTTTTGTATTTACAACACGTGTATTTTGTATTTACCCACCTATAATCCCAGCTACTCAGGAGGCTGAGGCAGGAGAATCTCTTGAACTCAGGAGGCAGAGGTTGCAGTGAGCCGAGATTGTGTCACCGCACTCCAGTCTGGGTGACAGAGTAAGACTCTGTCTCAAAAGAAAAAAAAAATAGCCAGGTGTGGTGGTATAGGCCTTTAGTCCCAACTACTCAGGAGGCTGAGGTGGGAGGATCACTTGAGCCTAGGAAGTTGAGGCTGCAGCTAGCTGTGATTGTACCACTGCACTCCAGCCCAGGTGACAGAGCAAGACCCTATCTCAAGAGAAAAAACAGGAAAAAAAAAAAAAAAAGCTTAAATGAACAACGGCCAACATTATTTCAGGGATGTTCAAAGGCTGTCCCCATGGTTCTTGAACTGATGGCTGTGGGAGCCAGGTTGCCTTTTGTGGTATCTACTACCCCCTGGGACCAGTGATGATGTCAATAAAGGAAACAGAGTTGCCCTTTGTCCGGTCACAGTAGCTCACACCTGTAATCCCAGCACTTTGGGAGGCCGAGGCAGGTGGATCACCTGAAGTCAGGAGTTCAAGACCAGCCTGGCCAACATGGTGAAACCCCGTCTCTACTAAAAATACAAAAATTAGTTGGGCATGGTGGCGGACGCCTATAATCCCAGCTACTCGGGAGGCTGAGGCAGGAGAATTGCTTGAACCTGGGAGGCAGAGGTTGCAGTGAGCCGAGATTTCCCATGCACTCCGGGCCTGGGCAAACAAGAGTGGGAAAACTGCTTGTCTCAAAAAAAAAAAAAACCAAAGAAAAAGTTTGCCCTTTTGTGAAAGAGGCTCCAGAGAGAAGAGAGTGGGGTCACCTGACTGGTTTAGATGAAATGTGAGAATAAGGATCGAGCGTGTGGCTCAAGCTTAATCCCAGGGCACTTTTTGGGAAGGATGAGGCGGTGGATCGGAGGTCAGGAGTTCAAGACCAAGCGCTGGCCACAGATGTGGGATAAACCATCCTCTTTTTTTTTTTTTTTTTTTTTTTGAGACCGCAGTCTTTGCTCTGTCCGCCCAGGCTGGAGTGCAGTGGAGCCAACTCGCCTCACTACAAAGCCTCCGCCTCTGGTTTTACACGCACTTCTCCTGCCTCCAGCCCCTTCGAGTAGCTTGGACTACAGGTGCCCGCCATCCTCCGCCGGCTGGTTTTTTGTACTTTTAGTAGAGACGGGTTCTTACACGTGTTAGCCCAGGATGGTCTCGATCTCCTGACCTTGTGATCCGCCCGTCTCGGCCTCCCAAAGTGCTGGGATTACAGGCGTGAGCCACCGCGGCCGGCCATGGAAACCCCATCTCTACTAAAATGCAAGAAATTAGCTGGGCATGGTGGGCGGGTGCCTGTAATCCCAGCTACTCGGGAGGCTGAGGCAGGCAGAATCGCTTGAACCCGGGAGGAAGAGTTGCCACTGCCCTCCAGCCTGGGCGACAGAGCCAAGGGACTTCTTTCTCAAAAAAAAAAAAAAAAAAAAAAAAAAAAAAAAGAAAGAAAGAAAAAGAAAATATGCAAATAGGGCCCTACTACTCTTTCTGAATCTTGGAGGGAGAAGAGCAGCACAGTTGAGAGCATGGGCTGTGGAGCCAGACAGTGTGGGTGTACAGCTCAGTTTCCTCATTTTTACATGGCAGCAATAGGCCCTCTATCTGTGACTCAGGGTTCCTGTAGGAAACTGTTGGTGTATTAAAATGAAGACAGCTGCAGAAGGGTTAAGTAAGGGAATATTTACAAAAGTGTGGCCAGAGTGCAGGGCAACAGAGGAAGGTGCAGCTCGCTGGGGCTAGGAACAGTGGGCCTAAAAGGTTGAGGGGAGAGAATGCTTACCCTTACCACACTTAGAAGCTGGGAGAGCGCTGCCCTGAAAGACACTGGGGACTTCATGCAGCCAGCCATCAGCCAACTTGCAGGGGGAAAACCACCAGGAACATATATTTTGACTTCCTGATCTCCTTATTGTGTGGAACCCCCTAGAAGCCAGAGGGCACCATTTATGGGTGCAGTCAGGTTAGTTTTCCAGGGCAGGAAACAGGGGGAGATGCAAGGACAGTGGATTTGGAAGGGCAAATGGAAGGTGCCCAGCGCACTCTTTCATAGGGCTGTGATGACAGTTAAATGAAACATAGCACATTAAACACCCCCAAATTGGGAGCTGTTATTTATAGAAAAATAGCTCCCTTTGGAGAGAGATATCCACTTTCATGTAGCCCTTCCACCCAATGGAAGGATTGCTTGCAACATACTTATTTTTTATTTTTTGAGACAGAGTCTCGCTCTGTCACCCAGGCTGGAGTGCAGTGGCACGATCTCGGCTCACTACAACCTCTGCCTCCTGGGTTCAAGTGATTCTCCTGCCTCAGCCTCCTGAGTAGCTGGGATTACAGGTGTCCACCACCATGCCTGGCTCATTTTTGTATTTTTAGTAGAGATGGGGTTTCGCCATGCTTGCTAGACCGGTTTCAAACTCCTGACCTCGGGTGATCTGCCCACCTCGGCCTCCCAAAGTGCTGGGATTACAGGCATGAGCCACTACACCTGGCCCAGGCCAATTTTTGTATTTTTAGTAGAGATGGGGTTTCGCCATGCTTGCCAGGCTGGTCTCAAACTCCTCATGTCAGGTGATCTACCCGCTTTGGCCTCCCAAATTGCTGGGATTACAGGCATGTGCCACCGTGCCTAGCCATATTTTTAATTTTTTCTGAGACAGGGTCTCGCTCTGTCACCCAGACTGGAGTTCAGTGGTGAGATCACAGCTCCCTGCAGCCTCAACCTCCCAGGCTCAAGTGATTCTCCCACATCAGCCTTGTGAGTAGAAAGCTGGGACTACAGGCACACATCACCATGCCTGGCTAATTTTTTAAACTTTTGTAGAGATGGGGCCTTGCTATGTTGTCCAGGCTGATCTCAATCTCCTGCACTTAAACAATCCTCCCACTTTGGCCTCCCAAAGTGTTGGGATTACAGGCTTGAGCCACTGTACCCGGCCACCTGTAAGGAATTTAAAGCTGTGCTGGAAATAAGCAATTTTTTAATAAGGAAAAAGACTTAAACAGTAGCAAGAAAAGAAAGGATTTAAGACTCAAGGGAAAAGATGTAAAAAAAATTGAAAATGAGCAAAGACTTCTAGCTCTGTGATGGACCCATGTTTACAGCCCTAGGAACACAAAATTTCACATTGTCAATACACGTTAAAGGCATCTGGAAGATTATAGCTATCATTTATGATAAAAATCTTACTAGAACAGGAACAGACGAATGTTTTCTTGATGTGATACATCTCAAACCATAAACCAGCATCATACTAATGGTGGAACACCAGAAAGCAAGGCCATTAAAGTCAGACACAATAGGAGGATGCTCATTATTTCAACTTTCTTTCTTTTTTTTTTTTGAGACGGAGTTTCACTCTGTTGCCCAGGCTGGAGTGCAGTAGCTCACTGCAAGCTCCGCCTCCCGGGTTCACGCCATTCTCCTGCCTCAGCCTCCCGAGTAGCTGGGATTACAGGCACCCGCCACCACGCCCGGTTAATTTTGTATTTTTAGTAGAGACCAGGTTTCACTATGTTGGTCAGACTGGTCTTGAACTCCCAACCTCAGGTGATCCGCCCGCCTTGGGCTCCCAAAGTGCTGGGGTTATAGGCGTGAGCCACCGCGTCGGGCCTCATTATGGTTTTGAGAATGTGAGAATCCTTGGTTTTCAGGAAAAGTAGATCTCAGCAGCCAGGCACAGGTCTGACTCCTACCCTTAAACCCCCAATCCCCTCCCTAGAGGCAATTACTGCTTACTGTCTCTTGTGATTCTTCAAGAGATGGTCTGTACTTATATGAGTGCATTCACATGTGTGTACACACACATGCACGCAGTGAGTAACTTCTTTTCTTCCCCAGGGAAAAGCAAATGAGTGAGACTCAAAATTCAACAAGTCAGAAAGCAATGGATAAGGATAACAAAGCCGCAAGCCAAACAATGCCGAATACACAAGATAAGGACTACGAGGATAAATTGACTCAAGTAGCTCTAGCTTTGGTTGAGGATGTCATCAATTATGCTGTTAAGATTGTGGAAGGTAGAAATCCTGTTTGTTTGGATGCCTAAATAACTGTCTCATATAGCACCATACTACGGGGCAACTAACAAATTCACACCTTTTTTTTTTTTTGGCAGAGGAGCAAAACCCTTTGAAAAACATCAAGTGGATGACTCACGGTGAATTCACTGTGGAAAAAGGTCGTAAACAAATTGACGAATATTTTTCGGTAAGTTAGGCCGACCACTCCAGCATGGTACACCAGTGTGAAGAACAATAAAGAGACTCTCAGCAGATCAAAAGTTTGAAGTCTGGAAAATCTAGGAGATGGTATCAAAGGGGGTGACTAGAATAAGTAAACATCGTCTCTATCTCAGTTCCAAAATCAAGGTGGGATAGCCTTTGAAGGTGAAATGCACAATCACAATCATTTTCCCTGTGTCTGTATCATTCTAACCTTACATTTCCCTGGGAAAATCTGCTCTTCCTACTTAAGTAATTTGTCCATGCTAGTGCATTAAATGGGGGCCTAGTGGCCTAAGGAGGGAGATGCTCATCCAAAATAGGAGTTCTCCACCACCATTATTTTATTTATTTTTTTTTAGAGACAGGGTCTCACTCTGTCACCGAGGCTGTAGTGCGGGGGCTCGATCCTAGCTCACTGCAGCTTTGAACTCCTGGGCTCAAGCAATCTTCCCACCTCAGCCTTCCGAGTAGATAGGCGTGTGTCACCACACCTGGCTAATTTTTAATTTTTTGTAGAGACAGGGTCTCGCTATGTTGCCCAGGCTGGCCTCAAACTCCTGGCCTCAAGGGATCCTCCTGCCTTGGCTTCCCAAAGTGCTGGGATTACAGGTGTGAGCCATTGCACCTGGCCTCCACCACCAACTTTAGAATGCTCCTGTTAACAGAGGGCATGCAGATGGATCAAAAGACTTTTTAATTTGGCTTTGGAATATATTGCCTGCATAGTAAGATGTACAATCCCATGAATTCCTTTGTTTTTCTGCCTGTGTCTGACTCTGACTTCTTTGTGTGGCTCATCCTGGCAGCTTTGCTGAGAAGGCCCTGGATTACTTTGCGTAACTGGTGAGTGAATAAAGGAGAATGGCTTAGGCCAGGTGCAGTGGTTCACATCTGTAATCCCAGCACTTTGGAAGACCAAGACGGGAGAATCAATCACTTGAGGCTAAGAGTTTGAGACAGCCTGGGCAACATAGTGGGACTCCATCTCTATAAAACTAAAAAATTAGGCCGGGCATAGTGACTCATGCCTGTAAGCCTGACACTTTGGGAGGCCGAGGCAGGCAGATCACAAGGTCAGGAGTTCAAGTCCAGCCTGGCCAATATGGTGAAACCCCGTCTCTATTAAAAATACAAAAATTAGCTGGGCATGGTGGTGGGTGCCTGTAATCCCAGCTATTTGGGAGGCTGAGGCAGGAGAATCGTTTGAACCCAGGAGGCAGAGGTTGCAGTGAGCCGAGATTACACCACTGCACTCTCCATCCTGGGCAACAGAGCAAGACTCCGTCTCAAAAAAAAAAAAAAAAAAAAAGCCAGGCGTGGTAGTATGCACCTATAGTTCTAGCTACTCAGGAGGCTGAGGTGGGAGGATCACTTGAGCCCAGGAGGTCGAGGCTGCAGTAAGCTGTGTTGCGCCACTGCAGTCAGCCTGAGTGACAGAGTAAGACCCTGTCTCAGAAAAAAAAAAAAAAAGAAAGAAAGAATGGCTTGAAATCCTTCTCATTGTGCTTCTATGGAACGGAGACCAGTTGAAATTGGTGGAGGCGAGCTCCTCTACCCCTGGGAAAAGTTCCAGCTGTCTCTGTTCCCCAGGCCAGCCCCTCAAAGCCTACAGCCCTCAGGGCAGTTTCCCAGGCCTTAGGAAGGCCTGGTCAGGTGTGAAGGAGGAAAAGTCAGGGATTTCTGGCTCCACTCCCTCTGTGCTCCAGCGGACACCACTCACCGTTCTCATTAGGAGGGGTATCTTGAGCATAGTGAAGATGAATGGTGCAAGTTAATTCTTGAGCCTTCCTGCTGTGGAGCACATTTCCATTTGGGGTTGGGCAAAGGCCCCTGCCTACTGCACTCAGGGTTCCTGAATCAAACTAGAATGGAACACATAGCAAGTAGGAAAAATTTCCCTTGCAAATCCCATTGGTCATTCTGAGTAAAAGGCAAAATTAAGTCGTGACAATGGTCTATCAGGCCCAATATGATCTGAGTTCCCTTTCCCCTCCCAACTTATGGTTCAGCTCCCATCACTCCTTCCCCACTCTCACCTTCTTCCCTCGGCCACACTTGCCTCCTTGCTGTTCCTCGACTGCCAGGCATGTTCCCCTGTCAAGACCCTTGCTCTTGCTGTTCCTTCTGCCTGGAACCCTCTCCCCTAAGATATATACCCATGGCTCACTGCTTTACCTCCCTTCAGATCTTTGTTAAAAAATATCACCTGCTCATTGAGGCTTTTCTTGGCCACTTCATCTAAAATCACAACCCTCTCCACTTCTCTGACTCATTTTCCCTTCGCACTTATTCCTGCCTAAGATACTAGAGTCTATTTACTTGTACTACTGCCTGTCTTCCACCACCAGACCATATGGTCTATGAGGGCAGGTTTCTGTTCACTGCTCTGTTCCCAGCCCCTAGCAATGTCAGGTACACAGATGCTCAATAACTCTGTGTTGAATACATGAAGGGATTTATTATCGCATTACCATATTTCTTCACAGATGAAGAGCCAGGTCAAAGGATTTGTCTTACCTATTTTGTAGGGCTGTTGTGAGGATAGAGACAATTAAAAAGTAAATGACTGAAAAGCTAAATATGTTATATTAGCTCATGATGTAAAATCGCCCTGTTCCCAGCCCCACTAATGCAGCATGCCCGGCATTTCTTTCTTTCTTTTTTTTTTTTTTTGAGATGGAGTCGCACTCTGTCACCCAGACTGGAGTGCAGTGGCGCGATCTTGGCTCACTGCACTCTCTGCCTCCTAGGTTCAAGTGATTCTCCTATCTCGGCCTCCCGGGTAGCTGGGACTACAGGCGCGTGCCACCACGCTGGGTAATATTTTGTATTTTTAGTAGAGACGGGGTTTCACCGTGTTAGCCAGGATGGTCTCGATCTCCTGACCTCGTGATCCACCTGCCTCAGCCTTCCAAAGTGCTAGAATTACAGGCATAAGCCACCGCGCCCAGCCCTTTTTTTTTTTGAGACGGAGTTTCACTCTTGTCACCCAGGCTGGAGTGCAATGGTGCGATCTCGGCCTACTACAACCTCCACCTCCTGGGTTCAAGTGATTCTCCTGCCTCAGCCTCCCGAGTAGCTGGGATTACAGGTGCCTGCCACCATGCCCGGTAAATTTTTTTTTATTTTTAGTAGAGACAGGGCTTCACCATGTTGGCCAGGCTGGTCTTGAACTCCTGACCTCAGGTGATCCACCCACCTCAGCCTCCCAAAGTGTTGGGATTACAGGCGTGAGCCACCGCACCTGGCCAAAGTGTGAGGCATTTCTGATAGAGAGCTTTCTCAAGCTTATTGCCAACTTCCCAGGGTCCACTACACATCAGGGGATGGTAAATTAAGAGTTGCCATTTACTGAGTACTGCTATATGTTAAGCACTGCAGTGCACATCATCATGCATTATCTCATTTAATCCTCACAACAAAACTGTGTGTGGGTATATTAGTGTACCCATTTAAAAGATGAGAACTTTGCACAAATTACCCAGCCTGTCTCTGATTGAGCAGCAAAATGAAGTTATGATCACATGTCTGTCTGATGTACTTTTTTTTTTTTTTTTTTTTGTGAGACAGAGCGTTGCTCTGTCACCCAGGGCTGCAGTGCAGTGGCTCCATCTTGGCTCACTGCAGCCTCTGCCTCCTGGGTTCAAGGGATTCTCCTGCCTCAGGCTCCCGAGTAGCTGGGACTACAGGTGCCTGCCACCATGCCTGGCTAATTTTTGCATTTTTAGTAGAGATGGGGTTTCACCATGTTGGCCAATCTGGTCTTGAACTCCTGACCTCAAGTGATCCGCCCACCTCGGCCTCCCAAAGTACTGGGATTACAAGCATGAGCCACCGTGCCCGGCCTGATATATTCTTTTAAAAAAATATTTATTTATTTATTTATTGAGACAGAGTCTTGCTCTGTCGCCCAAGCTGGAGTGCAGTGGCACAATCTCGGCTCACTGCAGCCTCAAACCCCTGGGATCAAGTGATCCTCCTGCCTCAGCCTCCTGAGTAGCTAGGACTATGGGTACATAGCACCATGGCTGAGTAAATTTTTTAGTTTTTTGTAGAGATGAGGTTTCACTTTGTTGCTCAGGCTGGTCTTGAACTCCTGGCCTCAAGTGGTCCTCCTGCCTCGGCCTCCTAAAGTGCTGGGATTACTGCCAGTCACTGGCAGTGGCCACTGCACCCGGTGTGAGCCACTGCACCCAGCCAGTTCTATCTGATATATTCTTTCCACCATAGTAGGAAAAGTACTTTTTTTTTCTTATTTGTTTTTTCTCATCAGCTTCTACTGACCCAGGAAAAGTACTTTGGATGACAAAAATAATGCAGACTTTTATTATTATTTAAAAATACAAATTCAAATGATTTTAAGATACTACAATGTGAATATGAATAATTAAACCTGGTATCAGAAGGCTGGTACAGGCTGGGCGCAGTAGCTCACGCCTGTAATCCCAGCACTTTGGGAGGCCGAGGCAGGCGGATCACTTGAGGTCTGGAGTTTGAGACCAGCCTGGTCAACATGGTGAAACCCTGTCTCTACAAAAATACAAAAAAATTAACTGGGTGTGGTGGTATGCACCTGTAATCCCAGATGCTTGGGAGGCTGAGGCAGGAGAATCACTTGAACCTGGGAGGCGGATATTGCAGTGAGCTGAGATCGCGCCTCTGCACTCCAGCCTGGGTAACAGAGTAAGACTCCATCGGGGAAAGAAAAAAAAAAAGAAGAAGGATGGTATAGTTGTGGGGAGGGAACACTTACACATTGCCAATGGCCAAGTTGGTTCACTCTCTTCAGGAACACAGTCTGGCAACAGGAATATACAAATGGGTTCCTTATAAAAGAAAAATCAGAGAATGCCCATCACCTCACACAATTAAAATTACTTTTATAATAAAAAAAATCACTATAAAAAATGCCCAGTGAAAAAAAATGCCCAGTGAGCAAAAAGATACAAATTAGAAAATGAAATTACCCATAATACCCATTTC